ATATATATATATATATACACACAATGTACGCCGTTTATCTTCTTGACCGAAAATAAAAATAAACAATCTCAACATGATTAACAAATACAAAATTTGTCGAGTGAAGTAAATAAACAGCAACAAAATAGAATCTGGAGAATCCGGGCATCGATCCCGGTACCTCTCGCATGCTAAGCGAGCGCTCTACCATCTGAGCTAATTCCCCGGCCCTGCGTAAATCGACGTGTCTATTTTAATGAAATACTAAATCATGTGTAGATATTTTTCCAGTCAGCAGTTTTGATCAGCAGGTGCGAATACGAAAGAGAAGGTTATCAGTGACAACAACCCTTGACCCTTTTTTGTGGTAAGTAGTGAAACTCAACACTAGCAATATCATATTAAGTACTTGACTCTGTACACACACTTAGCGAGAATAAACGAGCAACAACAAAAAAGGCCATAAACTGTTTGTGCTTCTCTCTTTCTCTCTCTCTCAACCGCCTCCCCCGCAGATGCCTTTCAGATGGCCTATCTGGCACCTCAAACTGTTTATCTGAAGCGTGTCAATTCGAAGAAATCTCGACTGATACAACAATCTCTTTATTATTTGTTACAATGAATCAACCTTCAGGGTTCGACGTCTTCTTAACATATCAAACAAAGACTTGGACGTTATTGTATATTTTTTAGTCGATATTTATTAGCCCAGCTTAATAAAAAAAAAAAAACAAGTCAGTGACAGAGGGAAACATGGATGGGAAGATTGTGTTACGCCAATGTTCTAAGTGAGAATGATATGTTTCCCTGCCTTGAAAATCATCATTATTGGATATACTAAACTTTACTTGTGTCTGAGTTATGGACTGGCATTGCCATGATTGTTCCACAGTGACGTCATTGATTACTGGCAGTTGCTGAGTCCCTCCGTCCTTTGATAGGTGTTATTTTTCCTCTTAGTAGATTCCTACCCACCCTTCCTCGTCTCATTTGAAGTGTGGCGACTAAACCAAGCTGATTTAATCACCGACAGTAAAGGAATTGTTATTCGTATTTCTCTTCCATCCGAGTTATATATGGACTAAATCCGCAGAATAGCAAAAGGTCAGAAGGTTGTGGAGAGCCTCAAGGAAAAAAATGCTTGAATACAGACCTCTGGTTCTAGTTGAAAATAGGAACGCCTATCGTAATACTCATAAAAAATGAAGGTATTCTTTCTTTAAAGATTTTTTATATAAATTTATTTATACACTCTCACTCAAGTCCACTGAGGAGCATAGGACCACAGTTCTCAACAAGAAAAACCTTGCTGCTATGGTAGACATAGGAAGTAGGGGTTTACAGTAACAGTTGCTAGACCCATGCCAACAGGTCTTAAATTTATAATTTTCTTCTCCTAGACTGGTTGTCAACTAAGACTTGATGACACACTCTGCTCTACTCATAACTTGGGGAGGGAGACACGATGGATTCATTCCTTTCCCAAGGGTATTTGCGCGAAAGTGAATGCAATGAATTTGACTGGAATTCGAATGTGGCTTCCCGTTTTCTCTTTCCGAATCGCTAACCATTACACCAACTACAGAAGACTTTGATGTATGCATGTTTGCTCAAGGACAGAACGAAAGTTTCTTTGGTAAGGCGGTTTTATTTTTGTTCTATATTTAATATCATTATATTGGTTTCCAATGAAAATTTACCTATAAATTATCCACTAAGTTCTTTTGGCTTTTGCAAGCTATTGTCTAAAAGTCTTCTGTTTTTGTGCTATGTCAGTTTCATCGTTTTTCAAATATCGTTTCTTCACGTGTCCAACAGCTTTTTAATGAATCACGCTTTCCCGTAGCATATTTTTTGTCACTGGATTTAATGCAATAAATCTCTGCTAAATATCGTTAATAGACGAATTTATCTTTACTTCCGTAAATCTTCCGTCAGTTAATATTCATTTTTTTCTAAATTTTGGAAGTGTTTTATTTTTTCAATAAACTTTTGGATTAAACTATTACTTCGGAGTTTTAAATACGTAAAAATCTTCGCATGAATGTTTTGTTAAAACAAATACAATAATTTTTTTAAAATGGTAAATTTAGTATTTATTAAATTTATTATTCGCTGTTAATCAACAAATGACTTCAGTGAGACTTTTGCAAATATAATAGCTATGAAATTTCTGCCTTCGCGCCTCTTTTAATTTTTTAGGTAAATATTAGAAAATGGCGGATCTGCGCAGAAAGTAGGATTGGCGTCCCGGGTTGAAATTCCAGTCTAGAACACTGCATCTGCTTTTGCATAAATACATTTGCAAAGATATGAACCTGTCTTCCCCCTGCTACGGTTTAAGTAGTAGAGCAGAATGGTCTCTCTTGCATTGGTTGGAAGCGATTCTTAGGGATAAAAAAAAACTCACTACAAAATCAATTGGGTTAGCAACTGTACTCAGTCCCACTTGCTATAGAAAGCACAACAGGAACGCGTGACTTGATGAAACTATAGCTATATATTTCACACTGGAATCTATAGAACTTATAGATACATTTGATATTTAATAAGACCTATCAAAAGCTTTTTGTTTATTTTAATTCTGTCTTTTTATCTTGCATAGGAATTAGAAATAGCTTCACACATGAGCTGAACTTTCATCCTATCTCTCGAGTGTTTATCTTTCATAAATGACTTTTTAACATATTCAGTCACAGAAACCGATGGTTTTCAGGAAAGAAAAATATCCATTTTGCCGCCCCACCAACTCCAGGTCTTCATACTTTATTGCTATATTTTACTGCCTAATCGTTTCATCGCCGTTTTCAAGTATTTTAAGACTAAAGTACTTGATTTCTGATATGAAGAATTTGCACTATTAATTTTTGGCTTAATATTATTATTGACTTTAATTACACCTTTCTAGGTTAAATGTTATCCGGCCGTTAAAGTGGCGGTGATAAATAGTGATCCTTAAAATAAGTAGTTGCGAAAAAAAAGTCATAAAATGAGAAACTAGCCTAAAAGAAATAATGAAAAGATCTTATCTCAAAACTCAAGTAATGTAAGACTATTAACAAAGATATATTTAAACTGTTAGGAAAAACTTGATTTATTTGGGAAAAACATTGTTGCCCTACAACCTCCCTGGTCGTCCAAGACGGGCAATCCTGCGGCTGATCGATGAAGTGATCGCTTCGATCCCGGTTCTGACTTATACTACGTTGTGATTTGGTTTGATCATAAGGTGGCCAAGAATCTTCGTATGGTATCTTCGTATTGGGGTGGTCCAAGCAAGGCGAAGACGCACAGTAAGAAAATAACACTCGAATGAATTAAAAAATAAATTAAATTCTATTTTTTATATCAAGTCCTTCTTTCACTAATTGGTTAAATCAAGACTTTTCATGCAAACAATTATCAGCTCAACCCACTTCTAACTCGGACGTGACACTTTTGTTGACTTGGTCAAGTTCGTTTTACTGATTTGGTAAAGTTCGTCACAAGTGTGAAGTCGGGAGTTCCCGTCGGCAGATAATCACGTAGTGCGTATCGCGTCAGGTGGCTGGAACTCTATACTATCTTGCTTCGAGGCATTCGTATTTATTGACGTTCGCACAAATCGGCATGGGGCACGGCGCAGTTGGAGATTTCGGTGTTTCCCCTTTCCTGCCATCTCCATTGTCTGAGTCCTGAGAATTAAATGACTTCATAATTTTGGGGAATTCCCTTCTTCCACGGGTGATGGTTACAGGCATTACTCCGCCTCATAACTTCCACTGCCTCCTATTAAGATCCACTAATCCTCCTCAGTGGGTGGTTCCTCTACCTTCCTAGGTGATTCATCTGTACCCGCTACCTCAGCCACCCTCTAACTAGGAATGATTAATTCTAAGTTTATTATTTACGAAAACAAAGTTTCCAATTCATAGCTCATATTTTTAGCTCTGTGTGATAAGAGTCAGTCTTGTTGCCCTTTTGGCCTGCCGCAGTTCAAATCCACGTCTACCTTATGTTTTTCAATGTTCAAAACCGCCGACACACAATTCAAGTGGCTGTTATATGAGAATTAAAATCTTTTTTCCCACGGGCTTTATTCATTAACCCTTCTTATTTATCAGAGGTCTGTCAGTATATCTTTCTTTCTATTTTAAGAAAACTTTCTGAGGATTACGAGTAATGAAAATAGTGTCACATATTAGAATAGTCCAGAATATATTCTGGGAGTAAAAACAGAATGTGACGTAAAACAATGACTCATCTTCTCACCGGATTAATTTAACTTTTACAATGAGGCCATTATATAAGAACTGGAATTTCTATAAGGACTTATTATTGGTGAGCAAAATTATAAAATATAAAATATGCAGATGACATAGCTGACAAAAAGTAAAGAGTATTAACTGCTAGACAAGGTATTAAAGGAAAGCGGATATAAAGAACTAAACATCAATTGTAAAAAGACAGAAACATGGTTGTTAGAAAGAGAGACATGCCAAGATATGAGCTATGAGTAGGTGACGTCGAAATCAAGTAAGTACAGAAGTTTAACTGTCTAGGAAGTATTTTAACAAATGACGGAAAAATCTACATCGAAACCCGAAGGTGTATTGGAATAACGAAAGATGCCTTCCAAAACTTGTACAAAGTATTAAGAAACGGGAAAATTTCGTGATAAAAAAAGAGAATTTAACTACTATGTAATAACTATCCCCTTATATGACAGTAAATGCTGGACAATACCCTCACAAGTGAAGATGAGACTGATTACAACAGAGATGTGCTTCTACAGAATAATAGCAGGAATACCATGGACAGAGCATCTAAACAAAGAGGAAGTTTTCAGGAAAATGGAAGCAAAAAGAACACTGGTATTTAGCACCTGAAAGAAAAAGTTGAAATTTGGGGATGCATAATAAGAAAAAAGGGGGCTTGAAGAATCTGACACACACAAGACACATTAAAGACTGAGTGAAACAGCGAGTGACCTTCCTAATAAGCTTATGTAAATGGATGAAGGAACAGGTAGTTGGAGGGCTTACGGTCGCATCACGTTGAAACACCGGTTCCCGTAAGATCAGCGAAGTTAAGCAACATCGAGCCTAGTCAGTACTTAGAGATGAGACCGCGTGAGAATATCAAATGCTGTAA